TCTTATGCTTGGCCAAGTGCTCTGTAGGGAAAATTCCAGTTGCAATAACACCAGTCATTTCCTTTTTGATAAGCCAGCTAAGGACTTAATGGGAAGTCAAGATTCGAAGCCAAAATGCTGGACGGATAACTGTTAATCCCGAATTAATAAACAAAAAATTCGCAAGCAAACATTCTATTAAGTATTTCGATTATCGCGTTACTCTTCTCAGTAGACACTATAAAGTGATAATTGAATGTTTCTGTGCAACAAGAGAGGAAATGGATTTCATTTTCACCATTGCAAACAGCAAGTGCCATTCCGTCTTACATTTTGTTCTCTGAAGCTTAGATCTCAAGGTTTCCGGCCTTCTTTGCCGAGAAGTCTATCTGAAACTACTAGGCTTCCACAGATTTTTAAACTGCATAAATCATGGCTGAAAACCAATTTACTTCGAGGTAATATGTAAAGTGTAAGTGAAGTAAACGTATCGATGGGCAGACGAGTCTGTCCGTTCCTCGCAAATGTCTTCATGGGCAAAGTCGAGATGACAAGGTTAAGAAATACTATAAATGACCTTGACTACTACAGTCGATACGTGGACGATATTTTCTGCCTGACGGATGTTACCACCGAGACAGACACCCCGGTCCAAAAGTTTAACAGTGCACACTCCCCGCTAAAGTTCTCTGCAGAGTTAACGGCGGACAACGAAGTTCCGTTCCTCATTGTTCCTCTGCACAGACAAGAGGATGGGTCTATCCAGCAAAGGGTATTCCGAAAGAAAACCTGGACGGGACAACACATTAATTTTTACAGTTCTTCCTCCAAATATTAAACGCAATTTGATCCAGGGACTGGCAGCTAGAGTGTGACTTATCTGCTTTCCTGAGACTGTCGAGGCAAAACTGCAGAAGCTGCGGGATATACTCTACGAAAACCGATACACAGAAAGATTTATCCTCCAAAATATAGGGAAACTCACTGCAAAACCCACCATGCCAACTGCAGAAAAAAGACTTATTTATAGGACTACCTATTCAAGCGGGCGCAGCAAGCGACCTAGTAAGAAGTAGTCTGAATACAGCGATCACTAGGGCTTTTGCTGAAGCGAATTTACGTGTATGTTGCACGAACTCTCCCTTCGTACGCTCAGGAGGTAAAAACAAACTCCTTTGCAAGCCACATCGATGTGCATTTACTCATTCACTTCCTCTTGTGGGACGGGATACAATGGCCATACAACGAGGCGTCTGAAAAAGAGAGTACCTGTACGCACACCGGCCTGACTAGGCAGATCTGAAAAGAAATCGATGTCGAGTTCTATTCTCACAAATGTGGTCGATACGAGTCACCGAATCGATGCTAAAGAAGCCTTTCAGACTGTCTACCGGACACCAGCAAGCCTCTCCAGAGGCCTACGTCAACGGGTGCTAATTACAACCGAGGCAGCGGCTATACGGCTAGCCAGTCCAGTGCTGTTGTCAGAAGACGTTGACCCAGGCGCTCTGTATTCCGTGGCCAACGCAGACCCCAGTATATGATTGCACGTCGCCCCAACCTCCTGATGGCAGTGGTGTGTGCTCAACGTACCCGATTTACAAACACTACTCACAACCTATGTCATCCTTCCCCCTCGCCCCCCCTTGACCCACTAACCATAACACGCCGACCACGGCATAACGCGTCTCGCCATGCGGGTAATGTGGGAACGCTGAGTGTTAGTAGCCCCTGAATCACTTATAAACCCTGTGAACTTCGCATATTTTCGACTTCTATGTAACTGTTTTGGTCTGATGACGAGTTGCCGAAAACACGTGTTTGCCGGACTTTTCAATTAACATTTAGACTACAGAACTCTGAGATGGTCAAAGTATCCAAACACTATGGGTTTCCATACCGTGCATAATCTGATGTTCGTAAAGCCTTGGAAATAAAGCATCAGGTGTGAACTACAAGAATTGTCCGTGAATTCCTTGTGTATTGGCTGCGTTTTTAAGTTTCTTGGTACAGGCTGAATACGCTGCCAAAAGAATGCAAAATTATTCCAAAACTACTGTGGTTGTAAAGTTTAGTTTCTGTGTTTAAAAACCTTTCGTTGTAGGGACTTTGCATTTGGTACGTTATTAAAATGTGTTAACGATAGTATTTAAACTCCTGATGGTCCTCTTGAACAAAGTACCAAAACTGCAAAAGCTGTGAATGCTTGCAGAGACTTCAACGATCTCGTGTATTTTTCTGATGGCTGAATGTAACTTCAATGGCGAGTGGTGTGATATTATTATGTAACAGAATATGTTCATGTTTTTTCTGCTAGACTTTACAGACTCGCCTGTACAACAATATGCCCCCCATATGTTGACATCGATTGAGCAACACCGGCCATGAAAAACCCTACCGGGAACGCCCACCACCAACTTACCGAAGCTCGACGGACATACACAAACTAAACCTGTGAGCGAATCCACAAAATTATTTCGCCTTACTTTGGAACTGTGCTGAGGGTGAACACTTACAGTATTTCAGGGACGTTTAAAAACCAAAATAAACAAAACAGTAATATGCCTTCAGAAACTGCGCACTAATTTCCACTTTTGTTTGTGAGTTATGAAGAAAATAACAGCAATCAAGGTAGGCGTAGAGACTCGTTAAACACTAGCTGAAGTCACTTAGCATACTTTTAACTTAATACCATTACTGAGGTGAAACTAGTGTCTTTTTTAACTTGGGACATGATCTCAGATACAGATAACAGGTGTAATACTGGCTTTTACTTAACATTATTCTTAACTATGGAAAAGGCAGTATATTAGGCCTCCGCTTTTCTGGCATTGATATTTAGGGCTTGCGAAAGTTCTATTTCTGTGCTCAAAGAAAATATTCGAAGGATTTGCTTTTCATATACCCCTTACCTGGAAACGACTTCCACTCAACCGAATGCATACGAAGAAATAGTGTATTACATGAAGATAAATGTGTGATTTTAAGATTTTTGCGATAACAACATGATTATTCGCGCAGTTAAATGCGTGTAGCTTTGTAGGTTTGATTTGTAAAGAATGCGACTTTGTCCATGCTTAATGAGACATTTTGCAGAAAGGTTTTCATATAGCATATATCGCCACGACTAGTTTTCAGGAAATATGT